CTGCTGTTTCTGAGGTTTGTTCAGCTCACAGGTTCAGATGATAAAATCTGTGGTGTCTCAGATATTAGACTGAGTCATGTGTGTCATCTCTCTGCAGAGGTTACTGTGGTTTCACATGGTGAGTTATTCTGAATGTGATGTCGCTTCCTGTGGTTTCAATACTCGTGTCATGTGGTGAACAGTAGATCCTGAAGTCCTCAAACACAGCTTTCATTGATGTCATGATTTTACTATTTAACATCTTGGTTCCTCTTTAGCTCCTGTTTATAGCAGGACTTTATGCGCAGTCTGACTCAGGTGAGAGACTCTGACCTGTGCTGTGTGATTCTCAGGTGAGCAGCCCAGCTGTCTTTGTGGACGAGTCGTCACACGGCAGCAGAGCTTTTACTCGTCAGTCTGGCAGTTTTCATGGCAGACAAGGAGTTTACACCAGGAGGCCATCTCTGCTTCCTCCTCCATCATCATCACAGCTCAGCGAGCCTGGAGAGAGCAGGACCAGACTCCCTCTTCCTCCTCCATCAACATCATCATCATCATCATCACACCTGTTTACTGTTGCAGAGAAACATGAAGGTGGAGATCACACCTGGGAGGCTCTGAGGTTGCCAGTTGAGTCCGCAAGTATTCATGGTGAAGACATACCAGCAGTCAACACTGGGATGCCTCAGAAAGACGAAAACATGAAGACTGATTGATCAGAGGAGACGCCACTGGAGTACAAACCCTACCAATCAGAAACCAGAAAGAAACAAGTCACATATTCAGCCAATTAGAGAGCAGGAGTCCAAACTGTACTTTAGTCATATTCGTGATTCACTTTTTTTTTTCTTCTGGCGGCCTTATTGGGGGGTTTTTTGTGTCTTTTTGTGGAGAAAAAAGTTCAAAAATAAAAACAAACTTTTAATGATGTCAGTCTTTCTATTGTTTCCAGAAGATTAATTAATTTTGTTCTGATAATCAGATCCCGACTTTAATAAATCAGGATTTTACAGACACATTTGTAAAATCAACCCAGCCATCTGTCCGTCCATCCAGCCATCATCAATCCAGGTATCCATTTGTCTGTCCATCCATCCTTTACCTTACCCTAACCTGTCACCTGAGGAGTCAGTCTTGTGTTCATGTTTATCAATCAGGACTATTGATCAGTTTCTTTTTTTGATTGTAAAAAAAATAAAAATAAATCATCATCCCCTACTGCAGCTCTCGAGGTGGAAGCTCAAGCTCTTCACCTTCCTCACTTCTCCCTGGCCCTTCTTCACACTAAAAACAGCTATCATGTTTCCAGTGAGAGATCACATGACCGGTAGTCCTTGTGACATCATCGTGTTGCAGAAAAAAGCATATTAAACACATAAAGAAAAATTTATAAAACGGATCAGTATTGATTACCTGCACTGATAATGTCTGATAATAAAACACATTGTATTTAATATTTTTCATTGGTATCTGTCATATTTCTGTTGTGCTCTTTATTGTTTTATTTCTGATTAATTCTTTCTGAATGGATATTGATTGTTTGTGATAAACAGGTCAACAAAAACTAAACGCTTGTTTAAAGTTTCCGGAAGGAGGAAGGGAGGATCCTGGAGACTACCAAAGAAAACAAGGTCCGTAAAGTTACCTGAAGATAGGCGTAACTCACCGGATGCCGCCTGACACACCTTCACAATAAAACATTCAGCATTTAGAATTGTC